TGATTCTTTAGGGTTTGTAAAGTTCTGTGGAAAGCAAGCAAACACAAAGATCTCAAGAGAGTTTTTATTAGCTGTGAAGAAAGCTGTTACAAGAGTTTTTTGCTAATGAATTCCGATCCCCCTTTTGGGTGAGAATGAAYAGCTATATATAGTGAAAACATCTAAAATGGGCCAGCTAATAAAATGGATCTGGCCCATTTAAACAATAAATCCAATGCAGACCCATTATTCTATTAAGCCCATTTTGCTCATGGGTTTAATGTCATTTTGGGCCCAGATTCAGGCTGAGCCTTCGTAGATTRGTCGTGATTTRGTCAGGATATTGCAGAGTTGATCTCGTCGCTATATCGATCTCACAAGGGTGAAATATGACCCCTACAGTGTCTTCACCAAAATCACTCTCCCAATTTTAATATGACATGACATCTCTTAAAATATGACATGACATTCTCTCTAATTTAGCCCATTAATCTCCAATTAAAATTAGTCCAAACTCAAAAGGAGGATGAGAATGATGACTTCATTGATGAAGTTAAGAAGTGATTATAAAAAATAATCTCACGGAATAACAGATTATTTTTACATGCTTTCTTTCGATTATTTGATTAGGGATTTTAATTACTGTTACTTTTAAAAATAATTTTTTTTTGGATTTTAATTGATCTTACTTTATTTTTAAAAAATTTTGTTCAACCAAAAAGATCAATTAAATAAATCGATTACATTTTGTTTCGGTCCAAATGTAAATTTATGTATCATCAACTCCAAATTTAAAAGTATGACAATCTTTAGTAAAATCTACACAAGAACAATATTGTAGAAATATTCTAATTAAATAAGAATTACCATATTATTGATTAATTGATTGACGTAAACAACATCCGAAATTTTAGCACCATTATTTATAACTGGAAAACTAGGGAAATCGTTAATAGTATCTCCACAAAATATACGATTTATTTTAAAATATTTCCATAGAAATATTTTCGAGACTTTACTACCTTCGAAAGTATTTTAATACATTTCCATAGAAATTGGAATTGAAGGTAGTAAAATCTTGGAAATATTTCTATGGAAATGTATTAAAATACATTGTATATTTTGTGGAGATAATCTTAACGATTTCAATTATTTATCTCCACAGACGTGATTTGTGAGAAGATACTTATGTTTCATCTCCACAATCACTCTCAGCAAAATAATTATTTTATGGTTAACAAAATTGTGACATGATAATTTTGAATCAATAACAAAATCTTGTATAACTAAATTTATATTTGTTACCATAAATAAATCAAAAAATTTTTAATCAATATATTATCAGTTTTTTCGTTTTTATTCTAAAGTTATGTACAAATTTGATTTCTCATTTAAACATAGTTTAGGAATTGATTATTGTAAAAATAAAATTATAGAATATATACTCTTTTGAAAATAATAATAAAGACTTACCAAATTTTTAAAAGAGACTTTGATATGTCTGTTAAAACAATTTCTCACGTTTATAACAAAAAAATTTCTCAAATTTTCCAATTATAAAAGAGACTTTGAATTTACGAAAGACAATTTCAAAGTAATAAAATTTTTTTTTATTTGAAAACAACAATTTTTTTTAATCGGCGTTTTATTTATAAAATTTATGATTATTTATTTTAATGTTTTAAAATATTAAATAATTTATTTGTATTCTAAATTCTACTTAAGATATTTGGACAACCCAAAATTAACATGTTTTTTTTTAACTCTAATGTATTAAATTATTATTATTTTTGATTTGACACGTGTACATATATAAAATAAATTCCCAAATTTATAACAACAAATATAATTATTTTTTTTAAAAAAAATTTTAACGCAAGACAATTTGAAAGTAATAAAAACATTTTTTAATTCTAAAGCAGTAATTTTTTTTAATATGTGTTACATTTATAAAATTTATGATTATATATTTTATTGTTTTAAAATATTAAGTAATTTATTTGTATTCTAAATACTACTTAAGATATTCGGACATGCCAAATTTAACATTTTCTTAACTCTAATGTATTAAATTATTTTACATTTTGACTTGACACATTTACATATATAAAATAATTAAATGGTAAAATTAAATTTCTGAAATTCATATTATTAATAAAAATGATATTATTGACACAAAAAATTAACAACAAAATAATCAACAATAATGTCTATAATAAAAATCAAACAACTACATATTTCACATTTTTAAAGACTAAAATTAAAAATAAAACTACATAAATAA